CCGATACGTTTTCGGCACAGGCTCGAGTTGAACTCGGGGACGACGAAAAGGTTGTAACAGAAGAAGAGGAAGAATTCGAGCTAGGAAAATTCATGCGTGATGGCCACTTTGAAAAGCGTACGGAACACGGCTCTGAAAAACGAGTCGGTGTCGTATATAAGAATCTTACGGTGAAGGGCGTGGAGAGCGCTTCTTCCTTCGTTCGCACGCTCCCGGACGCCATAATTGGAACTTTCGGCCCCGACTTATACCACATTGTTTCGCGTTTTTTCCCCTTTTTGCGACTCGGAAAAAATCAGTCGACGCGTACATTAATCAACGACTTTACAGGATGCGTGCGCGACGGCGAGATGATGCTTGTTCTGGGCCGCCCCGGTTCCGGATGTAGCACATTTCTTAAAGCCGTCAGCAACAACGTCGATTCATTCGCGGCTGTCGAAGGAGAAGTATCATACGGCGGCATCCCATCCAAGAAGCAAAAACAGATGTATCGAGGAGAAGTGAACTACAACCCCGAAGACGACGTTCACTTCGCTTCGCTTAACGTCTGGCAAACTTTCACATTTGCGCTCATGAATAAGACGAAGAAGGGAGCTAAAGAGGAAATACCAATCATCGCTAACGCCCTGTTAAAAATATTCGGTATCAGTCATACCAAGGTAAGTAATTGCCATAGTCCCCGAGATATCTCTGAATACCTATGTCTCGCTAAGTCAGTTACTGACAAAATTAGTATACACTCGTTGGTGATGACTACACTCGAGGAGTGTCCGGCGGCGAGCGTAAGCGAGTATCCATCGCTGAGACGCTAGCATCAAAGTCCACCGTGATGGCATGGGATAACTCAACTCGCGGCTTAGACGCCTCAACAGCTCTCGACTACGCCAAGTCGCTAAGAATTATGACCGATATTAGCAATCGGACAACACTCGTGACACTATACCAAGCCGGTGAAGGCATATATGAGCTTATGGATAAAGTCCTAGTCATTGACCAAGGCCGGCAAATATTCTCAGGGCCCGCCAAGGATGCGAAGCAGTACTTCATTGACCTAGGATTTGAATGTCCCGAAAGGCAGACTACGGCGGATTTCTTGACCGCTGTTACTGATCCTAACGAGAGGCGTTTCCGACCTGGGTTCGAGGACCGAGCACCTAAAACGGCCGAAGAGCTAGAGACGGCCTTCCGCAATTCGCCGAACTACCAAAAGCTGTTGGGAGATGTGCGAGACTACGAGGAGCACCTCCAACGCACAGATTTCGCAGACGCGAGGAAATTCGAAGGTGCCGTGCAGGAGGCCAAGTCGAAGCATGTCAGCAAGAAGTCCCCCTACACAGTATCGTTCACTCACCAGGTATGGGCGTGTACCAAACGAGAATTCTGGCTCTTAATCGGGGATAAGTTGACTCTCGGGACGAAGTTCTTCATTACAATTTCTAGCGGTCTCATAGTCGGCTCCATCTACTACAAGGAACCGTTCTCAACTGCGGGGGCTTTCACCCGCGGCGGCGCCTTGTTCTTCTCCGTGGTCTTCCTTGGCTGGCTTCAGTTAGCAGAGCTCGGGAAGGCCGTCGGTGGCCGTGCGATCGTCGCTCGTCACCGGGATTACGCCTTCTACCGTCCTTCCGCCGTGCCACTTGCTCGTCTTATTCTAGACTTTCCTCTCATCTTCGCTCAGGTTTCTGTATTTGGGATAGCCATGTACTTCATGACGAACTTGGATGTCGATGTAAGCAAGTTCTGGATATACTTGTTATTTGTGTATACCACGACGATAATGATCACGGCCCTCTACCGGATGTTTGCCAGTTTGTCGCCGGAAATCGATACCGCTTTGCGCTTCTCTACTCTTGCTCTCAACTTGCTTGTTATCTTCACAGGGTATGCCATACCCAAGACACAACTGTTAGACAAGTACATCTGGTTCGGATGGCTATATTGGATCAATCCTTTATCTTACAGCTTCGAGGCAGTCTTAACAAACGAGCTTTCGGATCAAGTGATGGATTGTGCCCCTGAACAGCTCGTCCCTCGAGGTCTTAACATTCTGCCGGAGTATCAAGGATGCGCTCTTACTGGCTCTAAACCAAACTCCCGAGTAGTTGCAGGAAGTGACTACTTACAAACTGCCCTTGGCTATAGCCGTTCGAACCTATGGCGAAACTTTGGTGTTGTGATTGCTTTCGGGATTCTCTATCTCCTCATCACAGTTTTCGCGACGGAGATGTTCGATTTCTCATCTGATGGCGGCGGCGCTTTAGTCTTCAAGAAAAGTCGAAGAGCGAAGAAGCAAGCCAAGAAAGCTGCTGCTCCATCCGACATTGAGAACGAAGGTGCCGACAGCAGCGGGTCTTCCGCCACCAAGGTTGGGGACGCCCAAGCTACTAGCGAGGAACAGAGAGAGGCCTTGGGGCGACTGACAAAGAGTGAATCAATATTCACCTGGCGAGACGTGGAGTACACGGTACCCTACCTCGGGGGCGAACGTAAACTTCTAAATAAAGTCAATGGCTACGCGAAGCCTGGTATCATGGTCGCACTTATGGGTGCATCCGGCGCTGGCAAGTCGACCTTGCTGAACACTCTAGCGCAGCGACAGCGAACCGGTGTGGTAACAGGTGAGATGTTCGTTGATGGCAAGCCGCTGGGAGCCGAGTTCCAAAGGAATACGGGATTCTGCCTCCAAGGGGATCTTCATGACGAAACTCAAACTATCCGAGAAGCCATCGAGTTCTCTGCTCTGTTGCGACAAGAAGCGTCTGTTCCCCGAGCCGAGAAGCTCGCATATGTAGACAAGATTATTGACTTGCTCGAACTCAACGACCTTCAAGACGCCATCATCAGCTCGCTCGGCGTTGAATTACGCAAGCGACTCACCATTGGTGTGGAGCTTGCCGCCAAGCCGTCCTTACTTCTGTTCTTAGATGAGCCAACATCTGGTCTTGATTCCCAGTCAGCCTACTCGATCGTCACTTTCCTTAAGAAGCTCTGCGCCGCGGGTCAAGCAATTGTCTGCACTATCCACCAACCGAGCTCAGTCTTGATCCAACAATTCGACATGGTACTTGCTCTTAACCCGGGAGGGAACACCTTTTACTTTGGCCCTATCGGAGAGAATGGCAAGGATGTCATAGACTACTTTGCTCAGCGCGGGGCTACATGCCCCCCTGAGAAGAACGTCGCCGAGTTCATTCTCGAAACTGCTGCGCGACCTCATAGGCGACCTGATGGTACCAAGGTTGATTGGAACGAGGAGTGGAGGAACAGTGAGCAGGCGCAAAATGTCATCGAGGAGATAGATGGTCTCAAGAGAGTCCGTAGCGCGGTGCCACATGGCGGTGAAGTATCAAATGAACGGCAAAGGGAGTTCGCCGCATCAGCTTGGATACAGACAGTCGAGTTGACAAAGCGCATGTTCAGGCAATATTGGCGCAGATCTTCCTATCTCTACGGAAGACTATTCGTCGCGGTGCTAATCGGAGTCTTCAACGGATTCACATTCTGGAAACTCGGAAACAGCGTCCAGGACATGCAGAACCGCATGTTCACGATTTTCTTAATTATCATAATTCCAGCCACCATCGTTAATGCCGTCGTGCCCAGGTTCGACCAAAACCTAAGCTTATGGCAAGCCCGCGAGTACCCTGCTCGTATTTATGGCTGGGTAGCCTTCAGCACTGCTAATATCGTTGCTGAAATCCCCGCCGCCATAGTTTCCGGCGTTATATATTGGGCTCTATGGTGTTGGCCTACCGGTCTCGCCAACGATAGCTTAGCTGCTGGATATTCGTTCATAATGACGGTGCTTATGTTCCTGTTCATGACCAGCTGGGGTCAGTGGATCTGCGCGTTCGCACCTAGCCTGAGAGTCATTGATAACGTAAGTTCCAGAATTTGGCATCTTGATAGACTTGCCGATACTAACTACCAGGTGTAGGTATTGCCATTCTTCTTCGTCATGTTCAGTTTATTCAATGGTGTGGTACGATCCTATTCAACACTCCCTGTGTTTTGGAGGTATTGGATGTACTGGGTCAACCCCTCTACATATTGGATCGGCGGTATGCTGGCCGTGTCGCTTGATGGGGTCCCCGTCCGTTGCGACCCGTCAGAGACTGCTCAGTTTGACGCGCCTCCGAGCAAGACTTGCCAGTCCTACGCTGGCGAGTTTACACGGAGTGCCGGAGGCTACCTACTCAATCCTGAAGCCACAACTGGGTGCCAGTATTGCCCGTACAGTGTTGGCAATGAATATCTTGCCACACTAAATGTTAATGCTAGTGAAGCATGGCGAGGTAAATTGATATCCATATCTTCTGCAAACCCTTAGAAAATGTGCACATATACGTACAGAGATAATATGCTAACATAAAACTTTAGACTTCGGTATCTTCCTACCTTTTTGCATTTCCAATTGGGCTCTCGTGTACTTCTTCATCTACACGGTGCGAATTCGCAACTGGAGCTTCGGACTTGGTTACGTCTTCGGTGCTCTGGGTAAACTCGTCGATATACTGAAGCGACAATTCAAGAGTCTCAATCAGAAGAGCGACTAGGGGCCGCTACCGCATCGTTCCAATTGGATACCCCTTTGTTCGAGACCACTAAAGGGATTTGCATAGCGGATTTGACACTTCCGATCGCCTGATATTTTCATGGGGACGTGCGAAAAGTGGAGTTTAATAGGGGTAATAGGGGTAATAGGTCCCCAACTTAGACGTGGAGGTAAGGATGATTCGATAGTGCAATAAAGCGTCAGTCAAATTATTCCACACGGATTTTGATGGCATTATATGGGTTCCTTCGATGTTTGGATATAGAAAGGGACTCATAACGGGTTGACGTAAAGATGAGGAATATACTAGACTTCACCCCAACGCGGGGCGCATTACATAGAACGAAAAATGATGAGCACAAAACTACCTAGACGACAAATGATGATGAGCTTGTTGTTAGAATGGATTTAGTTTAGCCAAATACTACTGACTGAGTTCATAATGCTAGTCCTCGTCAGGGCGTATATAACCAAACTTCTCAACCACGCTCTTCGCAGGATTAATACCGTCCCTCTTACACTGGCCCATCTTATCCACAGCCTGCCTAGCAAACTCTCGAGTCTCAGTGCTAGGATCGTTGCTCTCGGCAAAAGCTTTAAATTTCACGCTCCATACGCGCCACAAAGCTGGACTATATCTCAAACTCCCGACCTCGACGAGTATGCGCTTTTCGCATAGCTCGAAGAGTACATCCCCAGCATAGATAATCCACTGGGCCGCAGCTGCTGCGTAAGGTTCGTGGCGAGGCAAGTCATGTAAGATACGATCTTGGTGACTTGTTGCGAATGGCGACGGTCGTCGTAGTGCGCTCAGGGTGTTCGTGTCTGCTACGCCGGCCGCCAATAGGCGTGCCAGAAAAGCAGAGAAGTTGATATAGGCAGCAGCAGCATTTGGGTCACTCTCTACCTGGCGTGCACCATTAAAGTTACCTAGGTTAAATAGACAGGTGAGTTACAGGATCCAGACGGAAGAGTTTCGAGGAATTACCTTGATCAAGATCCCAAAGCCACTGGGTAAGGCCCTCATACCGAGTTTCTTTCGTGATATTCCAGAGTATGGTTTCCCTCATCTCTCCAGCAACAAGCCCGGGGACAAGGATCTTAGGCAGTTGCCGGAGTTCCTGGAGCAGGCTTACAAGTCTGTCTTGGCCTCTATGGTCAGCAGGTACTCTCATTGCTGCTCTTCCCAGGCAGTCCCAGAGATATTCCATCCATCCGCCGGGGTTAGGGGCACGGACGGTACCGGACTCTATCTGCCCTGCTGTCGGATCTGATGCCGAATTGTAAGAAATAGAAGCATCACGGCAGTCATCAATAATCACCCGATTGATTATCTTCGCCGCAGACCTGGGGGATTCTGCGTCGTCGACGAGGTCCTGAAGTGTAGCAACAATTTTATTTTCCGTAACTGAGTCGCCCTCGTATGAGAGATCGAGTGAGATAAAAGACGACATGGCGCTTGTATTGTGACTACCCAATATCAAGATAGATGAAACAGATGAAGCAAATGACCCAAAATGTTTAATTTTATATACAGAGCCCCTTTTCTCTCATAATTCTACAATAAATAAGTTGATCCAAGGTTGCTGGTGGCTGGAGGCCAATAGGAATCGTAGCGGTTAACGGCGGGGTTAATGCGACGGGATAGAGCTATTGCTTACCTCGCACGGTATTCATACGACGAATTCGTATGAATGGTTCAGTAAGACTTTATTCCCATGAATACACAAGGTAAATAATAAACTATACATATTTTTATGTTTGTTTATCAATTAACTACCTAACTGATACGAACAGCAAGTCCAAGTTTAATGTGATTTCTATTATAACTTTTTCCATGTTTAAAAATTCGGCGAGAAGGCACTTGGTAAAAGGAGGAGTTATAGAGTTGACACACGGAGGTATATGTCAGTTGAAGAAGTGAGATATTATTTATAGTTGGTGTTGTTATTTATTGTTATTGTTATCTAAAGTTGAGTGGGCTAGTTTCTCAATTCAACTAACTAACTGCTAGTTTTCAAGCTTCCCATCTAATTGAGTGCATCTGGGCCTTACCTTAAGCCAAAGAAACAAAACTCTTCCCAAACCTTAAGTGAATTACCAATTCTGCTATTCCTTGCCTTACTACAAGTTCATACCTAAAAAAAGAACTTGTCGAAAATTGAAATAGTCGTCCCTGCATATGCTTCCGATCGGTTGAGTCAACTTAAGCTATGAGGCTTACTATTAAGACTAAGAGGCTCCAGGTAGGTAGGTACCGCCTAAATGCTTGTCTACTATGTATTACGTGATTATCCCTTTACATAATTCAAGACTTATTATTAGCTGAGTAGCTAAATGCAGATAAATATCCAAGCTTATAAGAGACCTATTAACGATACTTGGCATGTTACAATAAGCCGGAAGGCCGGCCAAGTTTAGCAAGCTAGCGGGAACCAACCGGTGTTCCGGGATCTCGGTATTGCATCATATTACAGGTTTAGCTACACTACATCATCCGCCTTGGTGGAAACAATCTACATCAATCTACATCTCGCATTAGAGCTTCAGTTAAGGTTTTTGGGTAAAGGTTGGTGGGTACCCATCTTGCATGGCCATTGGGGAGCTTGTAGGAGCTTGTGAGAGCTTGTGAGAGCTTATGATGTCTGTTTGACACAAGCTAATCTTGGAATCTTGGAGCGCTTGTTTTTTATTGGTCTATAATCTACCGGCTCGGAGTCCGGAAAACTTTCCTACCCAAACCCCAAAAAAACAACCCAAGGCTTAGATTAAGAGGCTTGACAATCTTTGACCAAGGCATGAAAATCGACGGCGCTTTGCTGGGCCGACCTGATTCGCAGCAGCTATTTTTCGCGAGATAGCCGGCGTAAACTTTTAAAGGGAACACGTTCCTGGAGCTGGAGCTGGTGTTGGTGTTGGCGCCGACACTCCCCAAGCTTATCATCATTCTTTTAACTTCTTACCCCAAAACCATACCCAGTCTGCATTAGCATGCATTCATGACCCGTCGGCGACATCAACAGTAGCTACTCAGATACGCCGGATAACCAGCTTCCAAGCTCTTTTGTGGGGGTCAGGTAATGTTACCATCCTATCCCGCCTACTGGAATGCTGCGCGGACCGCCAACGGGTTGGAGCTTTCCCCGCGCACCTTTCTGAATTCCCTCATTTGCCTGAGTAGCCGACGACTAGGCTAATACGATTACTTCCCCGCGAACCATAGCGTATCAGATAGGGGTTTTTTTTTGTTTTTTTTCTCCGTTGCTGATATGCGCCAACGCAGGGCATGCTTGAGCGTGTGGCTAGGGTTGGGCAATTTTCGTATTGGGTAGAATAGCAAGTACACAGCATTTCACGAACGGGGCCGAATTATGTTGTGAGCTATATATGCTAGGTAGGTTAGGTAGGTAGGCTTGCATTCGACGCCGCGAACGCACGTTTATCAAGGGATGACAGAATCCACACCGCGCATACACTGTAGGTATGTAGGTATGTATACATGTGTTAAGGGTTGCTAGCCGCCAAATTGATCTGCGGTTCGACCTGTTGGCGTGTACCTCGAAATTCGGGACGAGGAGGTTGTGCTGCGCGATGATGTCGACGCGCATCCTGCATGATGATGAAAAAGGACCCTGATCGTCGCATTTTGGCTGAATTGGATAATTCAGGATCATGTTCGGGCCAACCAAGGCTTGCCAGCTTCTATGACATTATGCTTAGGGCACCTGTTCCTATGCGCGCATGTGCTCACAGGGTATGCTAAACGATGAGAGGGTTGCAGTGTCCCCTCAGACGGAGAGCTGCCGAACCCTTCTTTTGAACAAGCAGGATTTAAGGATCTGCCGGAGTCGTGGCTTGGCATGTATGGTTGAAGACAGCTATCATGGTGTCGCAGTGCAGTTGTGCAAACAGCTAAGCTGCTTCACATGTCGAGCTCATGTAGTTGGAATAAGCACGGCATGAAGCTTACTCGTCGACCTCTTAAGCTCTGACTCGCGGCTGTTACTAGCATAGTAGGACGAAGTCGAGCTGGGGTAGAGCTCTCTGACCTATAGGAGATCAAGGAGACAAGCAGGGACCAATAACGGCCACGACTATTGCAGCTAAGCTCGCTGATAGACATGGCTATACGACGCTATAGTAAGTTAATATATGAAGTAAGTTAATATATGACTGGTTTCTTGGTAGCATCTTGCATCAAGGTGTTTGGTAAGACATAGCTATCATGATGCCAATCTACCTCATAGCTACCCTACCCAGTACAACCACATGGCAAAAAGAGATTATCTTGTGTACCTAAGTGATTAGTAGGCATGTGAAATATAACATTTCAATCTTAGGGGTTTAGAGTTAATTCAAGCGTATAAGCTAGAGACGCAATATCTAAGCAAAAAAGGGGCGTGCTATCGATGGTATCATAGATTTCCCGTCCATAATCCTTGGGCGCCGCGCCCATATGCCAAAGCTAGAAACAACCGTCGAATATTCATTGCGCGCCGTCCTTCCTATAGTACAACACTAGTCTCCTGCAAGCTCCCTTCTAATCTGGAGTGCGGCATCTAGTGCCCGCTTCTTAGCCCGGCTGTACGAATATCATGCGCATAAATGAGTGCATGTACGTACACGGTAGTGTTATAGACTGCGACGGCTTGGGCATGGCTCTTAAACGCTTATACAGGTAAGCTATATGCATATTGCGCATCTAGTCTACTCATGGACTTGTAATTGATAAGATATGTCGAGAGAGCCTCATCCATTCGATTTGGAATAGTACATGTAACGCTTAGGAGATTAGAGAAACCGGCGGTTCCAAGTGTCCCACTTGTACTTGTCCTGTAGGTTCGAATATCTTTACTAGCTTAGAAAATTCTAATTAATTTTCAAATCCTTCATATTGATCAAGTTTTGTTTAATCAAGTCACAGGTAAAAATTGAATTGGGAAACAAATAGTGAGAAGGCAATATATCATCATTTGAATTATATCAAAATATAGTAATAAAAATGCCACCTAATGTAGATAGATCCCCCTTATGGTTTTCCATTCCAAATTCCCCCAAACCATTATGCCCTTCGTGTATTTCGCCCGCCCGCGTGTCGATACCCTAGATGCCTCCCAATTCATATACCCGAGGTCCATTGGTACCCACACATCATGCCCAACCCCAGTTCCCCAATTGGACGCCGTCGAAAAAGAGAAGCAAAGTACATGAAAAAAATGAACCCAAACCAATGCAACCCGACCGACAAGTTTACCACCAAAACCCGCCAAGACAAAATGGGGGTAAGGAAAAGGGGGGTATCGAACATCCACTCATTCAATTTATGCGAAACGGAATAAGATATCGCGGTAATCAGAAAAGGCCATCCGAAAGCGCCCGACAGAGCGACATGGGGACGGGATACGAAAAAAAGCAGCTAGCCCAATCGATACGAGCTTTTGGCTTTTTCTTTTCGCTTTTCGAGGGGTGGGAAAAAAGAAGCGAAGCGAATTAGTCTGCAAGGCAGGAATGCTGTCGACAGCAACGTGCCAGTAGAAGAGGGGATTGATTGTACATGGGACCTGCAAGGGCCGAGTTAGGGTATGTAGTTCCGCAGTCGCCGACTCGAGGAACGATGTTTATTATTTTTCCCCCATGCTGCACGCGCACGTAAACGGGAGGTTGTCCAACGGTCGGACGCAAGCAGACCGCCAGCTGCTGCACGTGCGTCTTCCGAAGCGGACCTCCCCTACATATATACATAGCTCATATATATACATGGGAAGATGGGGGAAATATTTTGAAATAGATTGATTGATATTGCACGCGCGCGAACGAAGAACCACAATGTGTGTGATTGCATAGCGTTCGCCGCAGCGCCGGCGCCATTGGTGGGAGGTAAAAGCAGAAAAACGTCACAGGAGCGCCAGACGGACCGGGGTTCGGTAGTATTTGCCGGGGCTAGGACCGGGTTGCGGAGCGGTGATTGGCTATACTATGAGATGGGAGCCCACAGTAAAGACCATTGGAGAGTCTGGATTGGCCCGGGTTGTTTGGGTCGAGATGCGTATGACGTGTGAAGACCCCAATCGAGCAGGACTCGAAACAAGCCGGGGTTGAGAGGGGCACATGCTAGTGTCTGTCTCTCCATTCCAAGTCTTCCGCTCTCGTGTTGGCTTTGCTTAGGCAAAGGGAAAAACGAAGTGGTGATGTTTGCATGGTGTTGTGGCGAGGTGAGGTAGTAAACTTTTTCGTCGCCCGACGGTAGAGCCCAAAAGCTTAATGCACATCATCAAACTCGTCTAAGTCCGATTGATGGTTGGTGGTTGGTTAACCGAGGCAATGCTGTGCTTGTGCTGGTGCTTACATCTGTGCCTAGCAACCAAGCAACCAAGACTCGGATTCAGCGGCTGGTCGCATCCTGGGCGTATGCGCCTCAATGCCGCGTATCCCGTATTGAGATCTGAGCAATATCCCGTAGATAAACAATTCATAGTGGTAACATGCAATTCTCCAA